AGAAACAGTAAGGTCTCTGAGCAATCACAGTTGCTTATGCTAGTCATATCTGCATGTCTGCCACACTCCACAGCTGGTTCCACGCACCGGTTAACCAACACACTTCTTTGAAAGCTCTATGTTGGGGAGCATATTATTTTCTCAGAGAAACACAGGTGGAGAAAGAAAAAAAACTCAGATCACTTGGATCTTTTGTTATCTTAATATTTACCTTTTCATCCTTTTCACAGGTAGATAATTTGAGCTCCCTTCCACTGTTCACCTTTCAAGTCCTCATACATTTCTGCTATTCCTCCCTTTGACATCTGAAGCAAACTGGCTTTACAAGAGACAGCATTGGGAGTGACCCAAACACACCATGCATGTGAGCAATCAACGGTGAACTCCTCCAGCTGAGCCAGGACTGCTTCCACGGCCTTTGTCATCAGCCACAGCCTGAATTAGCAACATTAACCTTTGGCAATACCCTTGAATTAGGAGTTGTCTTTGCTCTCCTTCCATTCCTTACATACACTAACTCTGGCTTCACTTCCACTTGCTCCTAACAGGCTACAGCTGCTCACAGCCCTTTGTGTCAGCTGTCATTTAGCTGCAGCTGTGAGAAGCTGCCACAGGGCACCACTGGCCCATAACATCCGATTTTCACTTAAACAATAAAATCCATCCTTGCTACAGATGCCCCTCCTCACACTGCTTTATGTTTTGCTGTCACTTGACAGAAACTTCACTCAATTTCAATCACTTTATTTTGTTGCAGGTCTATGTGCAAACATCAATAAAGTTAAGCCCATGCCTGCATGATGTTTATAGCTGAGATTAATTAACAGCTGAGCTAGTGGAGAGGCAAAGATGTGTTCCTTGGCCTCCCTCTGCTCAGCTTTGGGCCAAGACAGGAGAGCACGCCTGCTGTCCTGTGACTGGTCACTGCGCTAAGGTGGTCGTGTGCTCTCAGAAGCCCCAACAGAAGGTGGGGATGCTCAAAGGCTGGTAGTTGCGAAGCAGAGGAGGAGAGGTGGGCAGGCTGCCTTACCTTTCCTGGGCGGTAGTCTGCTGGCCCTGGCTTCCCTGCTTTGTCTCCTCCAAGGCTGCTTTTGGTTCCGTCGTGTACATACATGGTAGGTCCTTTTCCGTAGATGTCCAGCTCCACCTTGTGGAAAGCAGCAGGACCTGGTGTCTGTAAGAGAAGCAGGGAGGTTGCTGGGTACACAAGTGTTCTGCTGACAGGCAGGGTACTCAACAAAACGATCACACCCTAGCTATGTATCATGCAGTGGATGAAACAAGCACACTAAAGCAAAGTGGGCAGATATCCCTGTATAGTAAATAAGTAAAATAATACAAATTGTGTATAAAAATATAAGTAAAGTACAGAGGACAACTGGCAATGCACCACGTCAGTACTGCATAGAGAGAACAGAGACTGAAGAAACACATCAGCAGTCAGAACCCAACCATCCTCCAGGCCCACACTTCAGCTGGAAAGCCCTGTTGCAGCTGATGCTGGGAGCAGGTTACAGGGAAAGTTCCTACAAGGCGCATCCACCCACAGGTGAGGCCTCAGATTTGGCTCCAAGAGGCTCCTGCTTTTATGCCCTTAGAAACACAAGGGGCTTTATGCCAGCTGTCACTGTTTACTCGTGGGGCCGTGCAGTTTCTCATCATCTCAGTGTTGGCCACACCCAGAGCATTGGCCAGGCGCCCCGGCCTGCCCAAGTGGGAAGCTCTTAAAACAGCTGCACCCTCATGGTTTCCTGCCTCTTTCTGACAAACAGTCACCATGAACATATACATATGCACTCTGCGAAACACACTGTGACAAAATCACACTGTTATGTCTCTTAGTCATGAGAGGGAATCAATTCTCAGCGAGGTTCCCATCCATTACACGCTCACAGCCAAATCCAAGTAGAGGAGCTGTATGCACGTAGAGATGGAGATGCAAATGGAGATTAAAAGAATAGTATGAAAAAATATTTTCACAAAATAATTGAAAACCACAAAAATTGCCTTCCTGATGTAGACACTCAAGTTTTCTACTGCAATAGAAAATAATCTGAACACAAAAAAACTCCCTTGGAGCCAAGACTACCCATTTTCTAAGAGCCTTCTCAGCTTTCATAATGGCACAAACAATCCTGAATTCCACAGGAGAAACTCAAACGTAAGCTTCTGTTTAGCTGGACGTTTGTGATGGATGATCTGTGGGAGTACGGGCCTTGAATAGCCCATGAGGGAGGGCATCTCTGCTTTTATAACAGGGACACAGGGCTATGACTTCAGTTTTCCAGAGAAAAAGAATGTTGTGCTTTGATTTGATTAACCCTACTGTGACTGATGGAAGAAGCCTCAGCATCTGTGCTTCAAGCAGCTTGCTTGCACAAGTCACACAGTGTTTATGGTGAAGATTTCCTGTGCCACAGGCCTGACAAATTCCCTTTTAAGTAGAGAAAGAATGCATTTCACATGGTATCTGCAAACTGTCAACAACACTAATAAGAAGAGGACTTGATCTTACAAAGTGCTGTGCTTATTCACCCCTGCAGATAGAAGAGATCCTTCAAGTCTGTGCCGTGGGCTTCAGGTGCTAGTTAGGCCATAGTGCCTGTCCATCACAAATCCATGGATCCTGCTGACAATTCATTTTAAACTACGGTACAGTTCCCTCAGCAGATGCAGCATCAATACCTCCAGATGTTTCTATAGACTAGTGCCAGTTTGCTTAGCCACTGCACTCACACAAAGCAGCAAGTCCAGTGTCTGCAAGGAAAACGGTTCTTATCCCCATGAGGGTGCCCATGCACAGTCACTGTATCTCACAAGCCAGATTCCACCAGAGCTGAGAATCATGAGTCTGCTGTTTTCATGGTTGCCACCAAATAGTTCAGGCCTGCCTTTGCACCTGCATCAGGACTGCCAGAAAACACCAGTCTGCGGCAGTGCCTATAATCTACCAGTTGTGGACATGCAGTATCAGTTCACTCCTTCTCACACCCTTTCCCCTGACTGCAAGGGTGAAGGACAGCCTCTACCTGGGCCAATACCCTTGGGTAAGGAGCATTCTGGAGGGCAGATTTTGTCTAGTTAGGCCCACCAGCACTTTTGGATCACTCACTACTGGGGCGCTTGAGCCTTTTGGGCATCTCCCCACTGCCCCAGTCCTGCCAGCCCATCTGTGCCAAGCACTTACAATCAACTGAGGGAAGCAGAGTAATGAGGACATATTTAAGAAACTTAAAATGATCAGTAATATTAAGGCTGTAAATGACAGAATCACAGAATACCTCCCTACTGAACACAAGTGCACGTGTCCTGTCTTTCACACAACTGACTCCTTTGCTCTTCAAGATGCCTTCCTCAGCTTACACGGTTTACCTTTAATGCTTATTTCTAGTCAAGGTGGTTTGAATCCTACTAACCCTTAAAGCTCTCACAATGCAATTAGAGCAACCCAAGCTGGATCAAACTATTTTTACAGAAGTCACCTGTTAGAAACATGCATGCATGGAGGTAAAGTGCTCTTTTGTTAGATTTATTCTCAATTACCTTTATGCAGATGTTGGTTTGGGGCTGCATCTGTGGAGCTATTGGTGACTCCCATCCAATGCAAGCGGGTGTAGTCACTGGCAGCAGATGTCTGCATTCAAGATATGGTGCCATCTGAGGAAAAAGCCACATCACATCATGTCATTAAGGCTCTCAAGAGGTTTTCAGTATTTTCCTGGTTAGAGTCTGAAGCAGCAAAGTCACTAGAAACATTGAAGCTGATAGCCACAGCTGCTGGTACCGATCCTTACAGCTCAAAGGCTATTGAGAAAACAGGAAGACAACTGGAAAGAGTGACGTTACTGACAACTAAAACTAGGCCAGAAAGGTACTAAGTTAGTTTTCAGTAACATTAAAAAGCCAGAGAGAAGACAGTTACAGGCACCACTGTACAAATGTGGTGCTCTTACATATATGCCCACGCCTGCCACTGTTCAAAGTTTGAGGCAAGATTCTATAGCTATGACTCAAGCAGTAATTACTAACTAACCGCACTAGTTAGCACTGGAACAAGGTGCATGCGCAGGTCCTGAAGATGCAGTGGTTGTTGTTGCAGCATGAAGAGGAACCTGAATTTGGTCAGGTTTCCTGACACTGCCAAGAAAACACAATTTACTTTTCCAGTCTTAGCCTTACTAACATATCTGGCACTTGAAGGAACCTATGGTTCATTTTGCTCATCATTTAAGAATTACATCCAGTGCTAAAGGTATTGAACAAAGTCACAGAATCCCAGACTGGTTTGTGTTGGAAAGGACTTTAAAGCTCATCCAGTTCCAACCCCTGCCATGGGCAGGGACACCTTCCACTGGAGCAGCTTGCTCCAAGCCCCTGTGTCCAACCTGGCCTTGAGCACTGCCAGGGATGGGGCAGCCACAGCTTCTCTGGGCACCCTGTGCCAGCGCCTCAGCACCCTCACAGGGAAGAACTGCTGCCTAAGAGCTCATCTCAGTCTCCCCTCTGGCAGGTTCAAGCCATTCCCCTTGTCCTGCCCCTACAGGCCCTTGTGCAAAGCCCTTCTCCAGGTTTCCTGCAGCCCCTTTAGGCTCTGGGAGCTGCTCTGAGGTCTCCCCCCTTAAGGAGCCTTTTCTTCTCCAGGCTGAGGAAGCCCAGCTCTCTGGGCTGTGGGTGAAGGCCAATGATGCACAAGGGGACGTGGATGAGAAATTAACCAAATATACTGTACTTTCATACACTGGTTTTTGCAGTCAAAGCAAAATGCAACGGCTTATGAACTTGATCTTGAAAACAATCGAGACTGCTGCCATGTATGAGACAGCTCATATGTCAGCAATACTGTTTGAATGCATAGAATTCAGTGCAAGTCGAGTTGGTGTATTTAAACATGGTGGTTAATTTTCTAAGTTCCTTAATGAAATGCACCCTCATAAAAATCATCATGAAATGCAAACAAAGTCTGGAGGCTCAATGTTCCACATGAACACAGAAGTTTTTACCTGGATTCAGAGCTCTTACTCAGACCTGATTTCATTTCTACAAGAGCATTTGTATCTCCTTCATGGTTAGCCTTCCCTGGAAGAGGGATTCCAAATGGGACCACCTGAGGAACGGAGACAGAGCCAGCCACCACTTTCTCCACAGAGCTCTGGAAAGAAGAAAAACAAAAACGCAGACAATAATGTTTCTGAGCAGAACAATGCACTGAGAGATACGGTCTTTGAATGGGATTCCTGGATTCGTTTCTCTTACAAGAGAGAACACCAGATTCTTTAAAGTGTTATTCCTCATTGCACAATTTTCACATCGGAAAGGAGCAAGGTCCTAACAACCATCCCAATTTCCACTTATGCTCCTGTTGCAGAACTGTGAACAAAGCTTGAGATGAGCTCTGCTGCTTTCACTTCACTTTGACCTTCCTTGCTCAGGTCTGGTTCCCATGTGCTCTATGCAAACAGCTTTAGCATCACACATCAATGATGCATGGCAGGAGGGAGTCCCAGGGAAGCCTCTGCACCCTGATGGCACATTGGAGCCAGCCTCGTTTCATTGCAGCCACCTGAATAGAAACAAGATGTCCTGCAAAGGACTAAAGCAAGACAGCCGTTGTTTGAGCTTATCTCAGCTTATGTATGCATTAAGGATATACCTATCAAACGGGTGCCAAACCTGACTTTTCATCATTTCCATAGTCATTACCATGTCACACAATTCAAGAATGACAAATTGCATTTAGATACAGTAACATTTTACAGCACACAAAGATGTACTCCAGATCTTGGGAACTGATCCTCAGGGCCAGGAAACGTCTGCACTGCAGTGTTTCCTTCTGTGACCACCCCTTGAATCCCCCAGACACACCTTTTACCCTGGTCACCATCGCACACAGCGCTGATTCAGCACGGCAGGGGTTCCGCAGTCCCTGCTCTGTCTGGGGCTGTGCCCATCTCCTTGCCTGGGTTGCCCACAGCAGTGGTTCAGGACTGGGGCAGTTCTCAGGCAAACTCTCTTGGGCTGCACACACACGGTGTGCACGGGACACACAAGGTAGGAGGATCAGATCTTTACCTGATGCGGGTAAATGGGGACCTATGGGGCTGAAGGGGGAAGCTGTGGGGCTAAAAGGGGGATCTGTGGGACTGAGATCTATGGGGCTCAATGGGGCATCTATGAGGCTGAAAGGAGAGAGATCTAGGGCTGAAGGGGACAATCTGTGGGGCTGGGGTGGGCATTAAAGCAGGCACTATGGGGTGGGATCTATACGGCAGGGATTGATGGGGCAGGATCTATACAGTGGGATCTATGGGGCAGTACCTGTGGCAGTGCTATGGGGCAGGCTCTATGTGGCAGTACCTGGGGCAGGATCCATGGGTCAGACTCTATGGGGCAGTACTTAGGGCAGTGCTAAGCGGCAGGATCTATGGGGTAGTACCTGGGCAGTGCTATTAGGGAGGCTCCATGGGGCAGTACCTGGGGCAGCGCTATGGCGCAGGCTCTATGGGGCAGTACCTGGGGCAGGACTATGGGGCTCGGCAGCTCCATCCCCATAACCCCAAAGAAGGGGTCCGGGGCCAGTTGCAGCTCCAGCATCTGGGCCTAGGCATCCACCAGCACCTGCAGGCTGAACACAGGGGGCTATGGGGTGGCTATGAGGCACTCTGTGGGGCTCTATGGGGTCTCTATAGGGGTCCATGGGTTGCTACAGATATCGACGGGGTCCCTATGGGGCAGCCTTTTATGTTCTCTATGGGTCTCTATGGGGTACCTATGGGGGCCCTATGGGGTCTCTATACGGCCTCTAAGGGTCTCTGTGGGGTCTCTAAGGGTCTATGGGGCACTATGGAGTCTCTCGGGGGGCTCTATGGGGTATCTATAGGGGCCCTAAGGGTCTCCATGGAGTCTCTATGGGGGCTCTAAGGATCTCTATGGGGCTCTACAAGTCTCTACGGGGGTCTATAGGTCTCCAGGGAGCTCTATGGGGCTCTGTAAGGTCTCTACGGGGGCTCTATAGGGCTCCATATGGGGCGGGGGGGGGGCCTGGACCCGGTGCAGCCATTCCAGAACGAGTGCGGCCTCTTCTGAGGGGTGACCCACAGCAGTCTCAGCCCCACAGAGACCGATAGGAACCCCAAAGAGCCCCACAGCCACCCTATAGAGCCCCATAATCCCAACAGCCAACCAACAGAGCCCCAAAAATCCCCACAGCCACCCTATGAAGCCCCATAACCCCCGACAACCACCCTAGAGAGCCCCATAAACCCCATAGCCACCCTATAGAAACCCGTAACGCCCAGGCCCACCCTATAGAGGCCCATAACCCTCCAGAGCCACCCTATAGAGGACCATAACCCCCACAGCCAACCTATAGAGCCCAATAAACCCCCACAGCCACCCTATGGAACCCCATAACCCCCAACAACCACCCTAGAGAGCCCCATAACCCTCCATAGCTACCCTACAGAGCCCCATAACCTCCACAGCCACCCTATAGAGCCCAATAAACCCCCACAGCCACCCTATGAAGCCGGATAACCCCCGACAGACACACGGGAGAGCCCCATAACCACCCACAGCCACCCTACAGAACCCCATAATGCCCATGGACACCCTACAGAGCCCCATAATTAACCTATAGAGCACCATAACCCCCATAGCCACCCTATAGAGCCCCATAACCCTCCATAGCCACTCTATAGAACCCCATAGCCACCCTACAGAGCCCCATAACCCCCCCAGCCCCCCTATAAAGCCCCATAACCCCCCACAGCCACCCGATAGAGCCCAATAACCCCCCACAGCCACCCTATAAAACCCCATAACCCCCCACAGCCACCCTATAGAGGCCCATAACCCCCCAGAGCCACTAAATGGAGCCCCATAACCCCCCACAGCCACCCTATGGAGCCCCATAGCCCCCCAGAGCCAACCTATAGAGCCCCACAACCCTCCATAGTCAACCTACAGAGCCCCATAATCCCCATAGCCATCCTATAGAGCCCAATAAACCCCCACATCCACCCTATGAAGCCCCATAACCCCCACAGCCACCCTATAGAGCCCCATAACCCCATAGCCAACCTATAAAGCCCCATAACCCTCCATAGCCAACCTACAGAGCCCCAGGTGAGGCGAGTAGCTCGAGAGAGGATGCCTTCAACACTGGAGCAGGGGGAGATCAGCGTCCAGGAGCCTCAACTCAGAGCGGCGAGAGCCACCGAGGGAGCCTTGAGTCCTCAACAGGACCTGCCCGGGAGCCGGCAGCTCAGCTGACGCCAGCAGGGACTCACAGGGGACAGAGCCTGAAGCAGTGGCACCAGCCCTCAGTGGGTAAAAACCTGCCCCAGGGAGCACGAGCGACCAGGAGCGGGTCGAGGCAGTTTGCGTGGGCAGGCGAGCGGGATGGTGAGCACTCGTCGTATGACCAGGGCCCCGTCTGGGGGCTCTGCTCTGCCTGCCCCGGCGCTGGCAGCGTAGGCACCCAGAAGAGCCGATGAGAGGGGAGGCTGCAGTGCAGAGCTCGGAGTGTAGAGAGTGCCTGCGCTGGTCTCCTGAGGGGAGGGTGCACAATGGGGAAGGCTGCACTCGGTGCTCCCTGGTGGACGTCCTCCTGCAGGAGGTGGCTGAGCTGAGGGATGCTGTTAATAGACTGCGAGATGTCAGGGAAGCTGAGAGGAAGCAGGAATGCTTGCTCCCGGCCCAAACTGTGCAGGGGCCTCGAGCGTCACCTCTACTTCATGAAAGAAGGAGGCCATTAACCCGGGAAGCTGGGAATTAGTGACAAAAAAAAACAACAAAAAAAGAAGGAAAAGGACAATCTAAAGCAAGGGGCTTCCCCCTAAATCCCCTGTCCCCACGCAGAACCGCTCTGCTGTCCTGCAGGGGGCTAATGAGGAAACGCACTCGAGCCAGAAACAGCCGGCTGATGCACTGGTAAAGAAGATCTCTACTGGTGCTGCCAGGAAAAAGCAGTGGGTCGTAGTAGTAGGGGACTCTACACTGAAAGGGACAGAAGCACTCGTCTGTTGGCCTGACCCCATCTCAAGGGAGGTGTGTTGCCTACCGGGGGCACGGACCAGGGGTGTGGCAGAGAGGCTGCCTGCTCTAGTAAGTCCCATGGACTATTACCCACTTCTGGTGATACATGTGGGTGCTAGGGATATAGACAGTAGTAGCCTGAGGAACATAAAGAAGGACTACAGAGCCCTGGGGGAGGTGGTTAGGGGCTCTGGAGCCCAGGCAGTCTTTTTGTCAATTCTCCAAGGTACAGGGGAGGACCTAAAAAAAGCCAGGAGGATTAGCCAGGTTAATAACTGCTTAAAAGGGTGGTGTCATAGTCAGGGGTTTGGGTGTCTTGAACACGGGACCCAAGTTTGTAGGCCAGGTCTAGTGGGGGCTGGTCTGGATAAAGAAGGGAAAGAGCAGTTTTGGTAGGAGGCTTGCCAGACTGGTCAAGGAGGCTTTAAACTAGTTGTGTTGGGGGAGGGGGGCATCATTCCATCCCAACACTCCCAGTCAGTTGCCAGAACCTATAATAAATGCCTGGAGCAATGTAGAGATATCCCAGCCACTCCAGCCAATGAGTCGGCTTCATGTGGAGCTCGACTCAAATGCCTCTATACAAATGCCCGGAGCATGGGGAACAAAGAAGAGGAATTAGGGATGTGTGCACATCTACGGGGTACGATATAATGGGAATCACAGAAACCTGGTGGGATGGCTCCTATCACTGGAATGCTGGAATGGAAGGTTACAGGCTCTTTAGGAAAGACAGGCCTGGCAGGCGGGGAGGTGCAGTTGCCCTTTATCTTAGGGATAGGCTGGAGAGTATGGAACTCTGTCTGGGGACAGGTGAGCAGTTAACAGAGAGTCTGTGGGTCAGGGTTAAAGGGAATATAGCTATGGGAGACATTACTGTGGAGATCTGTTACAGACCGCCTGATCAAGGAGAACCTGCGGATGAAGCACTCTATAGGCAGATAGGAAAAGCCTCACGCTCACAGGCCCTTGTTCTCATGGGTGACTTCAACCACCCTGACATCTGTTGGAAGGACGGTACAGCCCAGCACAAGCAATCCAGCAGGTTCCTCGATTGTGTGGAAGAAAACTTCCTTCTGCAACTAATAGAGGAGCCAACAAGGAGAGGTGCCATGCTTGACCTCGTGCTCACCAACAGGGAAGGGCTCATTGGAAATGTGATGCTCCAGGCAAGCCTTGGATGCAGCGATCATGAGATGGTCAAATTTGAGATCCTCAGGACAGTGAGGACAGCATGCAGCAAGCTCACTGCCCTGGACTTCAAAAGAGCAGACTTTGGCCTCTTCAGGAACCTGCTTAGTAAGGTTCCATAGGATATAGCCCTAGAGGGCAGGGGGGCCCTCTCTTGGTTGATATTCAAGGATCACCTGCTGCAAGCTCAGGAGTGTTGCATCCCAACCAGAAGGAAGTGCAGGAGGTCCAGGAGACCTCCTTGGATGGATGAGGAGCTCCTGAGGAAAATTTAATTGAAAAAAGAGGCTTATAATAAGTGGAAGCAAGGACAGGTGGCATGGGAAGAGTACAGGGATGTTGTCTGGGAAGCTAGGGACCAGGTTAGGAAAGCTAAGGCTCAGTTAGAATTAAACTTGGTGCTTGGTGACAGCCAGCAGGGTTTCACTAGGGGGAAATCCTGCCTGACCTATTTGGTGGCCTTCTATGATGGGGCTACGGAACTGATGGACAGGGGTAGAGCAGCTGATGTCGTCTACCTGGACTTGTGCAAAGCGTTCAACACTGTCCCTCATGACATCCTTGTCTCTAAATTGGAGAGACATCAATTTGATGGATGGACCACTCGGTGGATAAAGAACTGGCTGGATGGCCGCACACAAAGAGTTGTGGTCAATGGCTCAATGTCCAGCTGGAGACCAGTAACGAGTGGTGTCCCTCAGGGATCGGTGTTGGGACCGGTCTTGTTTAACATCTTCGTCGCTGACATGGACAGTGGGATTGAGTGCACCCTCAGCAAGTTTGCAGATGACACCGAGCTGTGTGGTTCGGTTGATACCCT